GCGGGCTCCCAGCCTCCGCATTCCCGCCGCCCATCTCTCTCTCTTTCCTTTTCTTTCTTTGTTGCGTTTTGTTCTTTGAGACAAGGTCTTGCCATGTCGCCCAGGCTGGCCTCAAGCTCGCAGTGATGCTCCTGCCTCAGCCTCCCCAGAGCTGGAATGACAGGCGTGCCTCACCATGCCTGGCCTTTGGGGTTTTATCTCATTTAACCGTCTTGGGCCTGTTGCCAAGGAGCACAGGGGCACAGGAGTCGGGATGATCCCCGGCTCAGGCTGGAGACACACAGAGCTGGACTTCTGTCCCAACAAGCTCTGATACACTTGTACCTGCGTGCTTGGGCATTGCCCAGGGAGGGCAATCAGAAGGTGCTTACTAGTTGCATGCTGGGACCTCACGGTGGCTGCGCTGCACATGGCTTTGGTCCTGGCTGTGCCACCCCACTCAAGTAGGCGCTTGACAACTGCTGAGAGCCTCAGATGGTGGTGCCTGCTCGGAGTCACAGCGCTTGGGAGGCTGAGGCAGAAGGATCTCAATTTAGAGCCCAGCCTGAGCCATTTAGGAGGCTTCGTCATAAAAGAAAAAAGCAAAAGAGCTGGGATGCAGCTCAGTGCAAGGTGCACATTCTGTCCCCAGTTCTGAAAGGGTGAACACTTCATTCTGGAGCAAGCTTGGGCACAGTGCCCTTGGGAGGGGAGCTGGGTCCCCTGGGAGCTCTGATGGGTCCCAGCCGTCTGTGCCTCGGTTCCCTCCCTGTGAGGCGGAGCGACCCCCTGTGCCTCTGAGTTTGGCTTTCATTATTCCTCTGCTCCCTGCTTGCAGCGCTGTTTGGGGCTCTGCGTGTCGCCGAGGGGAAACTGGCCCACCTGTCCCACCGCCCAACCCGAATATTCTGGGGTCACTGAGGGCCGATCCTCAGGTGCAGTGGGGGACCTGGGGACCCAGAAGCAAAGGATTCTGGGTGTGCTCTCCAGGGGCTCAGGGAGCATTCTGGAATCTTCTCTGCTTTCTCCACACTAGGGTGCCAGGGTCCCCAAGGGCCCCACCCCAGCTCGACCATCAGCTGCAGAGAAAGCAGGGGTGGGCTGGCCAGCAGGAGAGGCCCGGCACAGGGCCTGTGTCCCCATCGCCAGCTGGGGGGCAGGGGTCCTGGACAGTGGGGAGGGGGCCTAGGGTGTCGCCGCCACCGTGCCGGCCAGGAAGGAGGAAGTTCCCAGGGTGGCAGGAAACCCTCGTGTAACCTTTGGCCTCTCGGCCACCAAGCGATTCCTGCTCCAGGGGCCCCGGGGTCAGCCGCCCAACCGGCAGCACGTCTGGTTGGCCAGGCTGCGTCCCGCTGGGCGAGTGGGCACAGGGGCAGGGTGGCGGGTCAGGCCCTGTGTGCCACCCCCAGAGGTGCAACCTCAGACCAGGAGTTCCTCTTCTTGAGCCTGGTGTAAAGAGGAAAGAAAACACAAAGTGTGGCCGAAAAATGCAGTGTGTGCACAACGTTTACAGAATCTCTTAAGGTGGGTGCCCCATTCCTATGCATCCCATCAAAGTGTGCCTCTCACCGAGGCCTGTCACGTGAAGGTACAAGATCCCAACGACGAACGTAACGGCTGTGTGCGCACTTAAAAAGTACCAGTGAGCTCAATAATGACCAAAAAATATCCCTCTCAGTTGTGCTTTTGGGGGCGCTGGGGATGGAGCTCAGAACCTTGGGCTTGCCAGGCAGGCGGGAGCACTGAGCTGCCTCCCCGACCCTTTTGCATGTGCGCGTGCGCGTGCGCGTGCGTGTGCACCTGAAGGTCCCACGACCATAGAGAAGGGTGACCCCAAGCCCCTGGAGAGTCGGAGCTGCCTGGGTGGTGCCGGAGTGTGAAGTGTACTTGGACTGTGTGCCTGTGTGGGCCTGGGGAGTTACTGTTTCCCCAGGACTGCGATCTCAGCTGGTCTCACCCTTCCCCACCCAGCCTGCCGCGGCCGGGAACCCCAGGGCCTCCCTCCAGGGGCAGCTTCCCCGCTGACCCATGCGTGCCAGGCCCCCAGCTCTTTTACTGAGACTCAGTTTTGCTGGATGGCTTTGCTGAGCTCAGACTTTCAATCCTCCTGCCTCAGCCTCCTGGGTAGCTGGGGTTCCAGGTGTGCTACACTTGGCAAGTAACTTATCAGCGGTTTCATTTGTTTTCTACCGGGGATCGAACTTGAGTCCTTGTGCTTGCTAGGCCGGCAGTGGAACCACTGAGCTAAATCCCCAGCCCACTGTTTTTGTTTTTGTTTTTAAATGAACAGAAAAGCTCATGGTGGACCTGGCCAATTGGCTCTGAACCTTGTCTGAACTTTCATGGTTCCTCTTTTTCTTTCTTTCTTTTTGGTACTGGGGATCAAACTCAGGTCCCTGTGCTTGTGAAGCCGACGGTGAAACCACTGAGCTAATTCCCCAGCCCTTTTTCTTTTTCCTGAGATCTGTTGGCTCCTCTCACTGTCAATTACACTTTTGCTACCTTTGTTACAATTTCGATGGGCATCCAGATTGTTCCCAGTTCTTCTCCCAATGATGAAAGAAGATTCAAACCCAAATCTGAGCCAGGCGTGGCCACACAGGTCATCCCAGCAGGCTGGGAGGCTGAGGCAGGAGGATTGGTTGGAGCCCAGCCTGGGCGACTTAGAAATTTAGTGAGACCCTGTGTCAAAATTGAAAAGAAAAAAATGTAAAGGTCTGGGGATATGGCTTAGTGTGAAGGCCCGGGGTTCCATCCTGGGTACATCTGAAGCCCGTAAAGGGGGTGCAGCTCAGCCCAAGCTCGTGCTGGTCACTTGCACATTTCACACCGATGCATACCTCGCCCGCAGGCTCTCATCCGTCCTGCAGCTCCCAGGCTCCCAGCCAAGCCGCCCGCCGTCCCTGCACCTCTCCGGAGCAGGCAGGCGGTGGCCTTCACGCCATCCCCATGTCCGCACTCCAGCAAGCGCAGGTTTTTTCCTGAAAGCCATTTGTCACAGTGGCAGGAAGCTGCCAAGGGGCCTCTTCCCCTGGAGGTCACTGGGCAGCACACAGCCCCTCAGACACATTTTCTCTACGTGGAAAACAATCAATGCAGGGGTGAGCTGTTTGGGGGGTGGGGAGGGCAAGCTGGCACGGAAGTGACCAGTGTCAGTGCTGGAAAAGGACAGCTGAAGGCCCAGGAGGACGAGGTCACAGCCCACAGCCTCCAGGAGCCGGCTCTGTTGATTCCACTGTGCGGATGGAGCCGGGGTCTCGCACGGGCGAGGCCAACTCCTGCCACCACTGTGGGCACCCTGGCACTTTTTCCATTTTTGAGTCAGGGTCTCATCAAATTGCCAGGCTGCCCAGGCTGGGCTGGAACTTGAGTTCCTCCCGCCTCAGCCTCCAGGGTGCCAGGATGGCAGCACCAGGCTTCAGAACAGTTAAGGAAGTGAAGGCTTCCTGAGGTTCCAGACCCCTCCGTCCTGGTTTCTCTGTGTCAGAGCCACTGGGACCAGGGAGTTAGACAGGTAGGGTATGTGGGGAACAGATAAAAAGAGGCAGAAAAATAGGGGGCCAGGGATTTAGCTCAGTGGTTCTGCTGCCTGCTTCACAAGAGCAGGTCCTGAGTTTGATCCCCCGTATAAAAAACAAGAAACAGAAAGAGAAGAGACAAAAACAAGAACAGAGACCCTTAGAGCCTGGCATGGTGGTGCACACCTGTAATTCTAGCACTTTGGGAGGCTGAGGCAGGAGGATCCAGACTAAATCCTGCTTGGGCAACTTATGAAGAACTTCTGGGGGGAGGAAATGGGGGACTGGAGGTGTAGCTCAGTGGTAGAACATCCCTGGGTTTGATCAGCACTACCTCCCAAAAGGAGAGAGAGACAGAGATGAGACAGAAACAGATAGAGACGTACACTGATATTCACTGAAGGAACTGGGGCTGGGGCTCAGCCCTAGCTGAGGCCAGAGGCCAGAGTGGTCATCGAAGGAGGCTGAGGCAGGAGGGTGCAGGGCCCTGCCCATGCTGCCCTGTGGGAGTGGGCCAGTCGCACCAGGAGCGCCTTATCTCAGTCCCCACAGTCCTCATGACCCTGACCCGCAGCCTCCCTGGGCTAGCCCAGGTCCAACCTCACCTCTCTGCAGCCCAGCACGGATTTCCAGAATCCCTCAGCGAGGCCACGACGCCCCCCGCCCCAGCAGACGGTTACTAGGGCGACGCTTTGGTAGCCCTGACGCTATGCGGGCTGCAGCGGCCCCTGGCGGCTACGCGCGGAACAGCGCTCTGGCCCAAGCCTGTTTCTCTTTTCCTCTTACACGCCTGTTTTCTTTCTCTGTTGTGAGAGAAAATCTCGCTATGCAGTTCAGCCTGGCTACGCACGCTCTGTGTAGCCCAGGCTGGCCTTGAACTCGCAGCGACCCTCCCGCCTCAGCCTGCACCGACACGTCAGGCTCTTTCATCCCTCTTTGCCCTCTCCCTCGCTCCCTCCCATCCCCGCCCCGCTCCAGGGACGTCCCAGACCCGGGCGGCCCCAGGCCCCGGGCGAGTGGCGGGACGGTGAAGGGCGCCACGCCAGCCTCTTAGGAATTTTAAAAATCATTTTAAAAAAAGTTTAAAGGCAGCCCATGTGTATGATTTTTTTAAAAAACGCAAATTGTGGGCCAGGGATTTGGCTCCGTGACACCGGGCGTGCCTGCCTCGCAAGCACAAGGTCCCGAGTTCGATCCCCAGTACCCCCCCCCAATAAGTAAAAAAATTAGAAGGAAATTGTATAAAAAAGGTTACAGAGAAACGCGAGACTGTCTCCCATCCACTCCTGAGCCTGACTCCTTCGCCAGAGGCAGAGCCGTGCGGCAGCACCCCTTTCAGAGACGCCGGACAGAGGCGCCTGCTGAGCCCACAGCGGCCTGTCACTGGCTTCTCCCAGGCTCTATCTGGAGAAGCTCTGCTCTGGCTTTTAAATGGTTGAATCGTATTCCACTTCATAGTCGGTCGGACACTCATTTATTTAAACAGTCCGCAATTTTTTTAATGTTTGTTTTCTGATAGGGTCTCCCTATGAAGCCCAGGCTGGCCTCCAACTCGCAGCGATCCTCCCGCCTCAGCCTCCCCAGGGTTGGGATTCAGGTGTGTGCCTTTGCACCCGGCTTTTTATTTGCACCTCTTGTTTCTTGGTCCTGATTGCACTGACCACTTCCTGCAAGACCCTGGACGGCGGGCCTCTGATCTCAGAGTGACCTGGTGAGAATCAGTCTCCCCTTCTGTGAGATAAGGACCGGATGGTCGGGGAGAGAGCACTATCTTTTTCTGTGATGTTTCTTTCGGGCGTTGGCGGCCTGAGGCTGAGCGTGGATGTCGTCCTGCGTAGCCACCTGCATCCTGTCGCTGCGGGGCTCCGTGTCACCTCAGGGCTGCTCAACCCCGCTCGCGCCGCGGG